GACCCATATGCTTCCTTTCAAGAACATTGTCAAAATCTGAAGAAAATTATGCCACTAATGAAAAAGAAATGTTGGCGATTATTTGGGCACTAAAAGCTCTCAAAAATTACCTTTACGGTAAGGCAAAAGTAAAAATATACACAGACCATCAACCACTTACACATTCGCTTAGCAGTTGGAATGGCAACGCTCGAATCAAACGATGGAAAACGTACCTAGAAGAGTTTGATTATGAACTCCTTTATAAACCAGGCAGGGATAACACAGTAGCAGACGCATTGTCAAGAATACCCATAGTAAACCAAATCAATTCAGTAACATCCACTCAGCATAGCGCAGAAAGTTCAAGTCACAACCTAATACCTAGTATAGAGGTCCCGATAAACGTATTCAAGAACCAAATATTCTTAAACAAAGCAAACACAGACGACTATAAATTCCAAATCCCTTTCCCAACTTTCCATAGACACCTAATAACTAGACAAGAGCTCACGGAAAATAACCTAGTTCAGATATTAAAAAAGTATTTAAATCCTTCTGTAATTAACGGAATAATAACGTCAGAAGAAATCATGAATCAAATTCAACAAATATACCCCAAACACTTTAGGAATTATAAAATCAGATTCACCCAGACACAAGTGAAGGACTTGACTAACGAAACTGAACAGGACGAACATATACTAAAAATACACAATAGAGCTCACCGCAACGCAATAGAAAATAAAAAACAATTATCAGAAACCCATTACTTCCCCAAAATGAAACAGAAAATAGCGGCATTAGTCAAACAATGTCAAGTCTGTAAAGAAGAAAAATACGACAGACAACCAAACAACCCTAAACTAAATGAAACACCCATACCTCAATATCCTGGACATATAATTCATGTAGACATATACACGACAGGCAAAAACTTAGTACTGACAGCAATAGATAAATTTTCGAAATTAGCCCAAGGACGCATCATCAAATCTAGAGCAATAGAGGACATAAAAAAACCACTTCACGACATTTTATTTTATTATGGAGTTCCGAAATTCGTGGTCATAGATAACGAAAAATCTCTGAATTCAGCATCCATAACATTCATGATGCGAGATCAATTAGGGATTGAAATTTATAACACTCCACCTTATAAAAGCACAGTCAACGGCCAAGTCGAACGATTTCACTCTACGCTTTCAGACATTATGAGATGTAACAAGAGAAAACAAGAATATAAAACCTTTCAAGAATTAATTGACAAATCAATATACGACTATAACTACACCATTCATTCAACGACTAACAGACGACCACTAGATTTGTTTTTTGGCAGAAACCTAACGACGAACCCAGAACAATATGAAAAATCTAGACAAGACAACATTGACAGACTTAGACAGAAACAAACAATAGACTTACAGAACCACAATAAAAGACGCAACGAAATACGTACCTACACACCAGGACAAGAAATATACGTCAAGATCAACAACAGACTAGGAACTAAATTGTCTCCCAGATACAAAAAAGAAACAGTAAAAGAGGACAGAAACACAACAGTACTAACCTCAACAAATAGAGTCATACATAAAAGTAATATTAAAAACGTTTGACATTTATAGACTACTCGTAATAATGGCGATGATGGTACAACCTATCGAACCGAATATGGACATAACGAACCATACGGCAGCACAAACCATAACGATCTACGACGGACTAGGCAAAATACAAACAACGACGACAAGAATTATTCACATCATTAACTTAGGCAAAATTAAAGAAGCTTTAGAGCAGATAGAATTTCATACAGAAAAAAATTTAAAATTTAGCAGTTTATACCACACCTTGCACCACGAAATTAACCAAACTCACTTGACTTTACGCACTATAGATTATGACATTAACAAGAGGACCACAAGGGCCATTAATATTCTAGGCACAGCTTGGAAATACATAGCAGGCAACCCAGATCATGATGACTTCGTGCAGATAGAAGAACATATTAATAAAGTTATAGATAACAATAACAAACAAGTAATAATAAACTCACAGTTAGAACAAAGATTAAATAAGCTGACCACAGTTACCAATACCCTTACAAACAATATACGGAAAGACGATAGATTCACACACGATATAGCGGAAAGTTTACAGAACCAAGTTAGATTGATCAAAGAGGAGGTTATTAATATAAAATATGCCATACAATGGGCAAAAGTTAACGTAATAAACTCATTTTTACTAAAAAAAGCAGAAATAGATGAAATAGAGAGAATCTTCAAAGCTGGTAGAATGCCTTCATTATCTGTAGAAGAAATGCTAGAATATTCAGACGTGGCCATATTTCACAATACTACTACTTTGTTTTATGTAATTAAAATACCTAACGTAGAAGAAAATGATTATGAAAATCTAATTGTGAAACCAGTCGTAAGAAATAACGCTATCATAAATATAGAGTATAAAGAAATATTGTCTCGAAAAAATGTAATGTTTGGAATTATAAAAAATTGTAAAAAATATAATAACATTAAGATTTGTTCAAAAAATGACATTGTCAACATTAGCAATAGTACATGTTTGCCTAGGCTCCTCAATGGAGAAAAGTCGCTGTGTGAGTTCAGTAACGCCGAGCATGTGGAACCCATCGAAGAAGTGGCCAACGGTCTTCTGATCCTCAACAACTTTGATGGAGTGGTGACATCGACCACAACAAGTACATGGTTAAACGGCACCTATGTCATTCGCTTTACCAACGAGTCCACTTCAATTGGCAACCGGACTTTCAACAACCTAGAGAGCAGCACACTGAGAGTCGGCTCTGCGATAATCCAGATGACACCAGAAGAATCGAGACGACTCCAAATTCTATCACTAAAGGCTTTGCAGGCATTACACATCAACAATACCCAAAGACTAGAACACCTAAAACTTACGACACATGCAATATCATCCATAATATTGGTTTGCATAGTCGTGATAATCATTGTCATTGCCTTCCTCTACACAAAGAGGGCGAAAAAAATTACGTTACTATTGGACAATAGCCAAGTAAAGAAAGTAACAGAGGCACCAAGACGAACCATAGAAAACATACAGTTCAACGACATTCCCTTCTTTTAATGATCGCTTGAGGACAAGCTCAAATCAAAGGGGGAAGAGTTAACAACAAAAATATTTTTCAAGTTAAAAACAAAAATATTCTGCATTGCAACAAAACCCAATGGGAATTGTTGCAACACAAATAAAACGTAACAAGCTGATCAGACCAATAAGCCAAAACTGCTGACACCATGTCTAGCGGACTTCCTGCACACGCCAACCAGAGCTCCAGCAATTCCAAGAAGAATTGCACAACGGTTCAACAACACCACGAGCGACGCCGCTGCCAACGTCGTCGACTGAACCACAGCTTAGCTAGGGATAGAATTGATTTAAGTAATTTAGTTGCAAATTTGTTCTTGAATAAAACGGACTGCATTTAAGCAGTAAAATATAAAAACATCTTTTTTTACCGTTTAAATAAAGAAAGAACTTAACTTATATCATGTCAACACATAAAGACTGATCTATTTATACTGCTATTACAAATTTCATATTGGTATACAGTTTTTTTTTTTTTTTTTTGTGTTTTTTTGTTGGTCGAAACCGGCGGTTGCGCCGACTTTTTTAATTTGTCGGCTGACACACGATATGCCAAATGCTGAGCTAGACAAATTTGACGAATTTCTTAAACTGCCTTGACTTGGCCAATTTCCATGCCATTTTCATTTCCATTTACAACGTAAGCAATGGCCTGCTTAGCATAGTTCCAGTTGCAGTCCGCTCGCTAAACAATGGACACACAAGCGCGGCTCCGTCTGTACTTAATACTAGGTTTGCTATTGAAGACAGCCATCTCTGTAGGCTGGTCAATGTCGGAGGCGGGTCTCAACGACTCCAGCTATAATGTGCGTCACTTGTCCACACACTTTGCGCGCGTTTTTCTCAGTGTAAGCGTGGAACACAATGATTTCCCTACACTGATCGAGGCACAGTGGCCCGTCTCCTATTTGCCCATGCGCACAGCCATCTACCCCAACAGCGAAGTCCATGCAAGCAGAGGACAGCTCGAGTCGGACTGCACGCGTCTGCAGCAAGCGCATTGGTCGCAGGTGGATAGCCTAAGTCGGCTGTGGGTCATGGACGTGGGCTGGCCCAACAGCGAGTGTCCGCCCAAGCTGTTCGTCTTCGATTTGATCAGGAACAATGCCGAGTTGCTGCGTATCGATTGTGGCCAGCACATTGACAGCAATGCCTCTGAGAGCTTAGTAGTGCATCTGGGACCCAAGGCAAGCAACTGCGAATTGGAACGTTATATCTTCTTCATATCGGACCGTCAACCGCATATCGTGGCCTACGATATACTGGAGCAAACCTGGCATCGGCGCGAGCTGAAAAGCAACAAATATGAAAATATGAGTCAAACGTTTCCCATCAAACCAATTGACTTTACCTTTGGGCTGCAGGGCGAGCTGCTCGTCTCTGATCAAGATGGTGTGCTCTACAGCTCCACTAAAAGACTTCAATTGGAGGGGTCCATAACCGACTCCAACTCCAACTCAAACTCGTTGCACATACAGCTAACGCGACTGGGCAACTTGTTGGGTCCCAGTCGAAGCATGATAGTGGACTATTTCGGAGCGCTCTTCTATGTGATGCCCAAATTTGGCGCCGTTGTGCGTTGCGCTCAGCTGACAAATTTAACCGCCGAGGGCAATGAAATTATATACCTAACTTCTAAAAATATACAGCAAATATTCTTTGGCATAGAAGGCTCCGTCTGGGTGCTAAGCGATCGTGTATTAAAGCCGCAGGACATTTGTTATCCGGGCATACTAAATTAAGTTATCTTTAAAATAAGTAAAAAGTGAATGAAACTAACGGCATTTGCTCAGCTGTTTATGTTTATATGAACGTGATTCTTATCGATTGCTGACTGGTCAGACAATAAACATCGATAAGATGCATAACCATTTCAGATTCGATTTATTTGCGTGTCGGCATATTGTTTATATATTTTTTTTGCAAATTTTGTTTTGGTTTATATCGTTATTGCCTATTAACATAATTTATATTGGCGGCATATTTGTAGCTAGTAATAAGTTAATCGGTAACAGTTTGCTTATTCAGATAGCCCATTAGAGCCTGCAAACGTTTCTTGATGTTCTTCTGATCGTCAAGAGTGCAGCCGAGGAGAGCACTTTCAAATTTCTTATCAATTGGCCCCACATCCGCTTCAAACACAGTTCCCATACGTCCGTTCGGATCCATTGAGCTGCTGCAGCAGGCATTTAAATACAGCTGACAACGTTGCCGCCCGATAACTGGGTCACCCATTTTGATCATTGTGTCAATTAAGGCATTAATCTGGCTGAGCGAGTCCTCCTGTGACGCATCCCTCACGGTGCGCACATTCAGATCTACAGTGGCTAGGCGTGCACTAACGCGCTGAATATATAAAATAATCTCTTCACGCTCTCCTGTAAACAGAAAATAGATTGGTATTATTTTCCTATAATACTCAATTCTCAATTGACTGTTTACCTTCGCTCATGTTTTGGAGCAACTCATTGCTCTTGATGAGATCCATGGACATTAGAAGATAGTCCTTCTTCTCCTGTAAATTCAGAGCATCCTTACGAAACTTCTCCACGCGCATATCCAATTGATCTAGTATTGTAACAAATCTATAAAGGAAGATATCACATTATTATCCACAAATTTCTACACATAATTATGTTTATGGTTTTACCGTTCGTTTGCATTGAAAGGTCTGCCCAATGTTATAAAATGTTGATGTTGTTGTGGTTGGTTATATGAAAAGAGAGAAGCAAAGTTATTGTTAAATGTTAGATTGTCAGCTTATAGAGAAACTTAATGATACTTATCGAGGCACTCACACAAAGCTCTTTTTGGGCATTGTGTGGGCGACAATCGAATTCAAATTTGGTCTACCACCGCTCTTATATATATATTAATAATATTATCATAAGACATTACCAAATATGCATCAAATACAAAAATAAATAAATAAACTATTATCGTTCTACGTAAGCTGAATTAACTTAGAGCAGCACCGCGAAAATTTACGATAGATAACAACAAAAGACGACAAAAAATAATAAAAAAAAATTTTAAATTTAAATCGAGGGTTTCTGTTGTTGTGTTGACTAGAAGTAGATTTGTTTTGTTTTGTATGTAGTTTGGAATAACAACCTGTCCAGCGCTTTACTGTCGTCGACCAGTCCATAGGAGACGTTCCCGGTGCCGCCCAGGGATGTAGAAGCCGCTGCATCCGCATGCAAGCCTTGCAAATAATCAAAATTCATCGATGACTCCGAATGGTAAACGTGTGACGAGAATGCGCTGCTGTTGCTGTTATTGAGATGATTATCGATATCGTTGTTTTGATGGTGCTCCTGCATGCCAAGTGCAATGGGAGCATCAATATCCATTTCCTGCGGCTGATCCAGTGTGCCACTGAAAACTGCTTTAGCCGCTCGGCTACACTGCCAGAGCGAACTGTACGGGGAACACACTTAAAAGCTGTTCGACGATACTTTACTTCTTCACTCCTTTACTTCTGCTCTTCAACACTTTCGCTCTCTTGCTCACGCTGTTACAGTTTCAAAGTTCCGGCCTTTTCAGTACAACTCGATCGGCACTCTGGCTATTTTTTGGAATGTGTTAAGCTTTTTTTTTTTATCGAGTGTGTGGGTTTGTTGTAGCTGTTGTTGCTGTTTTTAGGCTTCTAATATTGTTTATACTATAGCGACTCACACAAGCACGCACTCACGCACTGGCACGCACGCATACACATACACTCACCAGCTGCTGCAAGAAGAGAACAAAGAGAACGTTTATTAAGTAAGTTTTAATTACCTATCGATTTGCAAGTTGCTAATATATGCGCCTGTCCATTCAGGTGAGCGCGCATATTGCTCATCATTTTCATCTTCATTATTATCGCCGGTGTCATAATTCACATTCGGCTGGGTGGCCAGCCGAGGCTCATCGCAGCGTCGGCGTTTTCGAAATATCCCTAAGAAATTCTCCAGCATACCTCTTTTATTCTCTAACACGCACACAAAAACGCACACATAGACAAACAAGTAAACAACTAAAATTAAGACTGATTTTGGTTTGATTTAATTGTTTGCAATTCAATGGCTAAAAAGATGTTTGTAGAACTTTCCAGCAGCATCTGGGTATCGCGCTCTGAAATTTTATTTCGTTGAAGAATAATAGCTAAAAGAATTTACCTGAAGCGTTTTAGCTGTTACCAAGTAAACTACTTAATTTTATATTATTGATTCGGCTTTCTAGCGAGAATTTTCAATAAAATTGCTTCGTTCCTGTTTACTGTGTTGCTTGCCGTAAATGTTGTGTGCTGAGTTTTCGTAAGTACATATTTAAGCCATGCTGTTCCGATTTAATTTAACTTGTTACTTCTTGGTTTTACTATTCATTTATTTGCTGTATCTTATTTTACTGCGCTTCACAATTTAACATTTTTCTTTTTTAACAAAAAAATCGTATAAACAAGGGTCAGGTTAAAAACAGTGTGACCGTCTCATCGAATGTTCTGGTATTTTGGATGGCATGACATCACGACGATTAATCGATTTGACAGATCAGATACTTAGTATCGATTAAATTCTACCGATACGGTCACTCTTTTGCGTTCGATATTGATTTACTTATGAGCTAATGGCGCGGAAAGTTCAAATCTCGCACACACAGCGCCGTGCGCGACCATTGACAGGATTTGGTTATCACATCGAAGAAGTAGTAGAACGGGCACTGCTGCAACGTAGCATGACCTTTGACACAATAAATGAAGAATTCACAGCGCTGCATATGCGGATATAGATGCTGTCCATAGGCAGGGCAATGCAATAGCTCACTCGTAATATCACTTGGTGGCCTCACGGGCAGTGTATTCACTTCCAAGGTACATTTCGCCCGCTCTGGCAGATCACATTTGGCTGTCACTGCATTCCAATGCAACTCCTCACTGCACTCCTGCAGTATCGCCTGTCCGTAGTAACATATGTAATACTTGCTACAACTAGACGAGCTGCCCACATAGACGATGCGATCATTGCCCGCCTGCGGCGTTAAGGTAGCACAATACTTGGCCGCATCTGTGATCATGCTATTGAGATTCTGCTCATTATTGGTGGGGGGAATGACAATATCCTGGTTCGTCTTATTCTGGCATCCGGCATTGGCGGCCGTATCGCAAATTTTGTTCAGCTTATTGTAGAACATATTTAAGGGGCACGAGGCGAGCACGGCGTCTCCATTGTCCTGGCAGAGATAGAACAGTCGACAGTCATCCGGATGCTCCACAAAGCTGCCACTCGCCTGATTCCTACACAGTCCCAAAGAACTTTGCCTTATGCTAACCGAATTCGTGGGTTTTCGTATGCTCCAATGACTTCTCGCGGCCGTCAAACACGAAAGCAGCAACAGCATCCACAATTTGTCTAAGAGAAAAGAAAGGAAGAAAGTTTTAGTTTAGATATTGGAATTGTGAGAGAAATTTCAGGATCAACCTAGGAATTTGCTGATATACTCCATGGCTTTGATATAATGTGTGTCAGGCTTCAGTAGACCTCAATTTTATTCTAATTTCGTAATGCGCCAAGAACTTGGCATATATTGCGAGCTCATAGCATCAATATCAGAAAATTAAAATTTTTCCATATCGTGTCAAAGTTTCGATAAGGCCTTCAACCAATACATTCGCTGCCGCCACCAAAATATTTCTGCACTATTTTTTGCCACACAATCGATCGACATGTTGATTCCTGACATGAAGCACATTGCGACGCGGTACGTTATTAATTCTACAAATGTCGATCCGAGAAGACACAAGACCCAATACAGACATCAACTAGAGATTAGCTGAAATAGATTGCGTCTTGCTACAGTAAAACTTCAATTAATTATGTTGATGTGCTGTTGCTGCTGTTGCTGGAAGAAAGACAACACACGATTGTCCTTGGGTTAGAGGCGTCTCATATCGGTCAATCGGAGCTTTATCTTTCTCTAGCGAAAACATATAGATAGCTGGCCCATTTCCAATATCTGAATTTCCTACACGCAGTGATAAAAATGCGGATGTGCGACCTTGAATGAACCCGTGATAAACTGAAAAATGTCTAGGATGGTGAAATACCTGGTGATCTTACCCAAAGTTAAACGAAGATTTCTGGCAACTTTTTATCACATGTTGTTGGCAATGATCCATAGCTTTGAGGTGATCTCTCAATAACATGTTCTACAAAGTAGATATATGGGTAACTCTGGTTGGGAATTTCCCTTGATCTAATTGAATTTATCAGAGGAAGTTCGTGTAAACTAATTGAACATAGCTGATCAAGGTTTTAACTTGGAGTTAACTCTACCAAGAAACTGATGTTGCCATAAATAAGAACAATAAAAAGAACATGCTCACAAATTCCTTTAAATTAGTTGTAGATATTTAATAAACTGTTACAAACACATTTATAAATATGATGTGATTTTTTAACTTTCTTCTAGAAGCAAACTGATCTCTCTATTCTTTCTTTGTAAACATAAACAATAGATTAGATTTTTGCCAGAAGAATAGAATGTTTTCTTAAATATATTACTGATATCTTATCATGTTTTTTACATGTAGTAAGTTTTTTGACTCTACTAGAGAACGGAAGTGATGTTATGTATAATAAGATATTACCGAAAGAACGCAAAATACACATGAATCATCATAGATAATGCATTTTAGGTTATTTTCGAGAACTTTAAAAGGAAAAGTAAGTGAGTGACCTTCAATTGGGTATCGTAAATTTAGATATGTATGTGAAAGGAAATTACGTTTTTTCCATTTTAACCATAAGTACCATCAATATCTTTTAATATATTTCCATCGAATCTAAGCCAAACCTCAATGCAAGACCCTAATGCACTATCCTAGGCCAACAAGAAGCAAGCGATTTTTCAGGGTAACATTTATATTTAAAGAACTTTCTATAAAACTTAAATTAGAGTTTTAGTTTATAAATTAGATCAGGAGACTCTGACGTCCAAAGCACTTGGCTTGTGCGATCGCCACACAGGAGCGCTTCTCATAGTCCCAGCCATAGAAGAAGGGGCACTGCTGCAGCATCAGGAAGCCGTTGCGGCAGTAGTAGAAGTAGTTGCAGTTGTCCGGATGCGGATAGATGTCCACGGTGTGCTGCTTGCACTGCTCGCGCACGCTGATGGTGGAGCGCTAAGAAGAAGACATTGATATGGTATATAGATATATATACCCTATATACCCTATCGGGTATATGTCCACACACTCACCATGCAATTGACCACCTCGGCCTTGTCGCACTTGGCCGTGTGCACATTGAAGTGCAGCATGGTGGCACAGGTCATGGGCAGGGGCTTGCCGTGATAGCAAATGAAGTACTCCGTGCAGGATTTGTCGTGGGCCAGCAGCACGATCTGGTGGGTGTTGTCGGTCGGTGGGCATTCGCTGGCCACCAGGGTGACGACCTGCTGGCTGCTGGCACTGCTCGGCGCTGTGGCCGCTGGCGCAGCGGCTGTCACAGTCTCCGAGCTCACATCGAGGGCAGTCGAAGCTGTGGTCACTGTTTGCGTGACAGTCACAGTCACGACGGGCAATTCAGTGACTGTGATCTGTTGCACTTCGTTGGTCTGCAGGGGCAGGCCCGTGCGACAGTCCACCTCCTCCATGGGCTCGCACATGGCCAGGTGCGCATTGAAGTAGTCGTTCTCCTCGGGGCACTCGCCCTCGAACGAATCCTCGCCGCTGCAGTAGATGAAGTGGGTGCAGCTCTTGTTGGAGGCAATGAAGTTGTTGCGGTTGCTCTCATCGCACTCCTCAAAGACGTCCGCCGCCGCCAGGCCAAGGGCGGCCAGCAGGAATAATAATAGACATGACATCACGTTGATGCTGTTCCGCTCTGAGAGGTAGTCAAGGGTAGACTAAACGCCGCAGCTGCCACGAGAAACGATTTTAAAGCGAAACCCCAGCATAAAATCGAGGCTTATCAGAAACTCATTTACGCTCTGCGCTTGTCATGCGAAAAACTGAACGCTTTTATTAGTACTCTTACAATTGATAAGACTTTGAGCTAATGCACTGCTGCTGGGCCGCGCTGAAGTGGAAATGCTGCGGGCACTGCTGCAGCAGCAGATAGCCGGCCAAGCACTGATAGTAATAGTTATCGTTCGCTGGATATGGATAGACGCCATTTTGAGCGCTGCTCTTGCAGATCGCTTGAAGATTGCCTGCAGTTGTGGTGCGAGTGGTGCTAGTAGTGGGAGTGGTGCGAGTGGTGCGAGTAGTGCTGCTGCTATGTGTAGTCGATGGTGGGGGTTCTGTAATCCCGCTGCTGCTAGCAGTTGACTCGGTTAACAACGTCGTAGTTCTCAAGGTCGTCTGCTCCGTCTCCTGCTCCGGCTCCTCCACGTTGTCATAGCAAACGACGGGCTCGGAGCAATCGCCATTGCAGTAGTAGGAGTCATCGCCATTGCAGTAGACATACTCGCTGCACTCCAGATTGGGGTTGGGTATGCGCCGTATGATGACGCCCTCGCATTCCTGCAGGAACACCGCCTGCGCCCACTCCAAGGGCCACAGGCAGCTCAATGCCAAAAGAAGCTGCAACATAAAACGAATTGCGTTTCGCAACTGGCTAACAGCCGAGCTGGCACCGTCTGCTTTATAGTAGTAGCCCCAGTGCCTTAGATAAGGTGATTAGCTCACAGTTTTATTTTGTATTAATTGCTGTCATAATTGCCAATTAAAAGAACAACAGAAGCATCGAGAAATTGCCACAGGTGACAAGTGAGAGTCTTAATTGAAACATGTTCGCGGCAGCTGATCCGCGATGCGTCCGCTGCACGTGCCGAGCTGCTCGCTGTAGGCATAGCCAATGGGACACTGCTCCACAACCAGATAGCCATCCACGCAGTAGTAGTAGTAATTGCAATTACCCGGATACGCGTACTTCTGCGTCACACCGCGCCGGCACAGCCTACGCACATCGGTGCCGGGTACTGCAGTTGTGGTAGTGCTGGTAGTGCTGCTCGTGATGCTGGTAGTGCTGCTGTAGCTGTCAGTGTAGCTAGTACTCGCATCATTCCCATCGCAGGTGTAGCTCAAGTCGCACAAATCCTCGCTGTCGCAGAACTGGGAGCTGTCCTCGTCGCAGTAGATCAGGCTGTGATTGCAGCTGGGACGCGGATTGTTGATGTAGGTGCCGGCCTCGATGCCATTGCATTCCGGGAAATCATCGGCTGCGATGAGCCAAACGCTGCCCAGCCACAGGGCAACGATCAACGTTCGGATGTCAATGCCTAAAGATTTGCCCATTGTGTGCGACAATTCCCCACCTGTGCTTAGCCCTTTATATGTGGCCCCATCAGAGATTGCCGGCTAAATTAGTTGTATTTAATTAGCCGGGTCATGTTCCTGCAACTTATCAATGGAGCTCTGAGCGCTTATCAGCTGGAAAGTTTCGGCATGTAACCCTACATACGTACATACATAGATGTCTTCAGGCATTACACTGTGCAGCAAGTTTGCAGCTTAAGAGGTTAACAAGGGATTTCAAGTTTTTAGATTTCATTCACTTTAATAAATCCATGTGTACATCATAATCTTTATGTATTAAGATTTTTGGTAAAAATATTTTCAGATTAAAAGTCAAGATGTTAACTTGGTGTACGTAAGACTGGAGGCTAATGTAGAATTAAATATGAGTTAGACTAATTTTCGAATTTTGTTCAAGTTTTTTCAGAAAAAGTTTAAATAATAATAATCATGTTGAGTGAAACTTACGGCTTTATTAAAGGTTCACAAAACTTAAGCTAAAAGCTGTTACTTAAATCTAATTACAGGGTATTTAACTTGTTCAGTCGAAAAAAGTTTTGGCTCGTTGAACAGTGTACATTTTTTGGGTTTTTCTTTTAAGATAAAGTTCTCGGTAACAAAGTTGCCCAAGATTCCTAGGGCCCTACGCACGCCTGGCATTGCCGTAGCACTTGGCCACGTTCAGCTGGACGCAGCTGCGCCGCTCAATGTCCCAGCCATAGTAGAAGGGGCACTGCTGCAGCGTCAGGAAGCCCTTGATGCAGTAGTAGAAGTAGCTGCACTTGTCCGGATGCGGAAAGAAGTCCGTCATGTGCGGCAGGCACTTGTGGGGGGCAAACTGGTCCAGCTGCAATGGAGATGCGATTAGTCAGGCCGCGAAAAGGTAGAGCCAGAGCTCTCCGAGACTTACAGGACACTGGGCGTTCTCGGGCAGATCGCATTGCCCCGTCTTGACGTTGAAGTGCAGCTGGTTGGTGCACTGCATCTGCATGGCGTTGCCGTGATAGCAGAGGTAGTAGTCCGTGCAGGAGTCGTTGCTGGCCATGAAGATCACCTGGGTGGGATCGTCGGTGATGGGGCAGCTCGGCTTGACGACGGGCGCCGCCTGCACCACCTCCACCTGTGTGGGCGTCTCCATGGTGGGCGGCGTGGGATCTACGGCCGGTGTTTCCGGCTCATCGGTTTCCTCCTCCTCCTTCTCCTCCTCCTCCGTGGAGGGCTCGTCCACTTCGTCCAGAAAACACTTGACATTCTCTGCATCATCACAGGTGCCCGACTCCGGATCAAAGTATTGCCCATCCTCACATTCACCCATGATGGAATCGTCGCCATTGCAGTAGACATACGACTGACAGTTCTGCCAGCTGGCGACGAAGGTCTCCGCCTCCGAATCGGCGCACTCCTCAAAGACGTCGCCCCACACACAGCCCAGGCAGGCGAGGACCACGACGGCGATACTATATAGACACGCTCTATGCATCTCGTTTGATTGATCGATCGATCTCAACTATGTTATGATAACTGAGCTCCGCTTGCAGCGATTGCCTCGATTTTATGGCCAAAACACATTTTGGCCCGAACATGCATTTCTTTTTAGCCTAATTGAATGCTCTGCTTATCAGCATGGCCTCAAAAAATCAAAAAATCGAAAAATAAAAAAAATCACAGAGTCTGAAATCAGAAATCAGTTTGCATGATTCACTAACTATCTATATGACATTATGTCATCGATTGACATTACATCTGTTTTGGAGTGAGGATGAGGGTGAGGGGGGAGCAGGCGATTGGTCCATACAGACTCTGCAAGTCGAAACACTCTCCGTTGTTTACATAAGACCAAACTATGCTTCTTCTGCTTCTGCTTCTGCTTCTTCTTTTAATTAATATTCAATATATGCTCACCAAGTGTTTTCAGTCCTCTGCTTCTTCTTCTCTTTCGTCTTCGCTGGCCAAAGCCAAAAGCGTGAAATGAAAGAAATCATTGACCTCAACACAGCGAAGCATTTTGGCCGTATTTTGCTTATGTCGGTAGCCCGACGACCAAAACGTGCCCCAACTTGTATATATGTATATATATGTATATAGGTATAAAGGTATATAATACATATGATGAAATATATATAGTTATTTCGGTACAGGTGCCTCGAGGGCCTTTACGTTTCTTTGAGAGCTTTAAGCCCTTAAGATATTTATCAGTGGTTCGGTTTATGGTTTGCAGGAATTGCCCATTACAGCGGTTCAATGTGTTCAAGAGCTTATTTACTTTATATTTCTTTCATTTGATTAGGACTCATTATTTTCATATACGTATGTATAAACAGAAATGCGTGACTTGAACCGGTTCGGCTTACACTTTTGGCAAATACTTTTTGTTAGCTCAGACACGGAGCTTAAACGATTCGAATCTGATTTAAGTTTATTTAGATCCTCCGATATATTTTTACAAAGATTCATTTATAAGTCAAGGCTGCATCAAATCTGGTTGCTTATTGACTTAAATATTCCAGATTATACATATTATACATATTTATACATATATATATATATACATATTTATACATATATACAAAAATAAACTTGATTTCAAACTGTGAAAGTTCTTGTATTTAGACAACGGTAAACTTAAGCTGAAATTCATTCAATTATTTTCTGGTTTCACTTCATATTGATTCATAAACCGTTTCAATGCGATTTCATCTAGCTAAAGAGCATCTACAATTCGTTCAGTTTGCATCGAACTTTCTCGCTCTTCCCGCTATTCGCTGTGATATAAATCACACAATTATGTGAATAGCTTTTTTTTTTGCACCATCATGGGAGCAGGCCAAATACCATTCGAGTGGATGGCATATTGTTTTCAATACCCTACCAGCGAGCAGATGGGGTATATATGCGATATGCAAATGAGTAAGGGAAGAGAGGGAGCTGGGGAGAGAGAGAGAGAGAGGAAGCGATAGATGAATAGAGAGTGAGAGAGAGAGAGAGAGAGAGAGAGAGAGAGAGAGAGAAAGAAAAGAACTTAACATTGTAATAATTTAACAATATTAACAAAATATTAAGAAATCTTGTTTACCAGCTCTGATCGATCCACTTCGTAATCTTCAACGTCTCTAAATGAATTACGATTTGCTAAGATCTATAAACTCAGCTTAGTCTACAAAATTGATAGAGACCGTTATGTTGCAGGGTATTGCCCAGTCGAGCGCATCCACTTAATGCATTGCTGCTGCTTTTATTTTTGATTTCATTCTAAATTTGCACAAAATCTAATTTATTGTCAAGCATTTGGCCAATACGATAAGACAAGAGCGTCTGCCTGCCTGCCTGCCTGCCGGGCCGGGCCGGGCGGTAGTTGATCGGTGGCTCTTGCTGCTCCGTTGGCTGACTTTATCACCTTTGTGCACCTGTAAGGCAAACAGAAATTAAAAATGAAGTCAAGACAGAGATGGAGAGAGAGGGGGAGAGGGTAAGACCTTTATATGTGTATTGCACGTGTAGTGATATTTGTTTAAACAAGTGCGAACGTAACCAATTTTGTTTCATAGATCGACGCTATGTACACATACATAAATATATTTACTTTTTATAAAATGCACTGACAGATCGGACAAAAGACACGATCGAGCCAACACAAAAGGCTGATCAATGCATGCGCTTTGTGGACTCAGTTGTAAAAGTCGACGAAGTCGGCAAAACGTCTACCGAGATCTGTTTATATGTTTACACACACACTCAGACAGACAGGTATAAGGTGTGCGTGTGTGTGCGTGTGTGTGTGTGTGTGCGCCATAGATGGATCGATCAGTGAACTGCATGTTTAATTTACAATACACATGTACATTTATTTACAAGCATGTGTTAATTTCATTGTACAGCTTGTACAAGACATTTATATTAAGACTGAAAACGAGCGTATGTGTGTGGTAGTGTGTGTGTGTGTATTATATATCCATATATATATATCTTTTTATATATATATATTACCTAGCTGTTGACAATGACTATGACTTTAGAGCGAGTCCTGAGGGAGCCGAATAAAAAATGTCATTGTGTTCATAATGAAGTCATGGCTTATTATATGGAATGTATTAACAAAAGACCGGGAAACAGAACTGATCGAGAGACAAATAGACGAAGATTAAATGCTCTGCCAGGTTGGAGTAGATATGACAAATGTATCAAGATAAACAAAGAAATACAAGACAATTTAGAGAACAGAAAAAATATCGTAGCTCACGAGTTGACGAAGATTAAATACCCTCCTATCTAATAGATAGATTAACTATATTTAACACACCTACTACAAGCAAAAACAAACATACGAAATTCACTAGAAGTTTTTAAAGCAGAGATCGGTAAAAATTGATCGGAATGTTAAATGGATGTAGATTGAAAACACTGCTATCTAAATGATAGATAGGGTGTATAAATAGTAAATGCTAAATATGAATTAAATAGAAGAAGCATAAATACCTATAAGTAGCTGGTAATTATCGGAGAATAGCAATCGGAGAACGATTAGACTAAGATTGAATACCATACAATACAGGCCGATAAACAGATATAAATATGACAAGCAAACATGGAATAAATAGTAGAACATGTAAATAATGTATTTTTATATATATAGAAAATGCAAATAAATTGTATATTGTTTACAAATTATCACGTCAAGATCATAAATGAAAGGTTCTATAAGGGAAGATCGTAAATCTAGCAGATGATGATCAAATATATACTGTATATATACATATATGTACATAGAAGACAGTAAAGGTTAGTAGCTAAGCAAGGCACAATAATAAGAAGAAGAAACAGGGAATGATTATCTATAAATGAGGCCCGTACAGCCTAATAGCCCGCATATTTTTCTCAGCTCAGGGTAGCTTGAAGGCTCTTTGAAAGCATGTCAGTTGGTCAAATGAAGAACAATATGTGTTTGGGTCAAGGAAAAGAACTCAACTAAGAGAACTTATATAAAGAGATGTAGAATGAGCAAACTAACACAGAGTGAGGTAAATGAAATGGGAATTTTTACTTTAAGGAATTTTGAAGTTTGACTATGCTAATTTCTTATATTGGTTCGAATTAAAAGATATAGCTAAGATACCCAAAAATACATAGTCAAGAGATTAGGCTCTCTGCAGACAATGACAAAACTATGTCAAATTTATAAAGCCCAAATTTTGTTTATTAATTTTTGTTTTCTTTTGAATTTTGCTCTTTATTTATTTAATTATTTTTTTTTTTTTTTTTTTTTTTTTTAGCAAAAACTGAAGATAAAGTCTCCAAAGCTTTATGAATTGTTATACTTAGTAGGCCAAAGCAATAGCTTTTATTAGTATTTCGGTAGGTATTTCCTTAGAGATCGTGAGTGTATCTAAAGGCAGATAAACATGCGTAAATACAAACATATTTTTAGCTGCTTGACATATGTTTCTTGTTTTTATTCTTTAGTATCATCAAATATTACACAAAAACAAGAAAGAAAAATGAAAAAGCTGCAGGCACAGCTGCGTTTCAATGCAACTAATTATAGGCATTGAACAGCAAAAGGTATTGTTTAAATAAATTTTCCATTTCAATTTCGATTTCAGTTCCAGAACTCGAAAAGAAGTCTCGAGTAATATGAAAACTAGATAGGTTTATCAGCTAAGTGGGCGCTGGCATTATCTTTGCGCCAGGTTGATCTATAGCTTCCTCAACAATTTTTGGCAAACTAATGAGGTTTTTCCCATGAACTGATATTTGTCGCCCGCTGCGAATAGCTAATGAAGGCACGGCTCGTAAATCAGCTGTCCTGCGAACCTTTTTGTGAGCCTCATTAGCTGTGGCTCACTTAGGAGATATGATAATTTCATATAATAAATATAATTATAAGCGAAGTCATATCAGCAGCACACAAAACAATTAAAGAAAAAGCAATTTCTATAACAATTCTTATAGATCGACAAATTGTTTTTCTAACTATCATCAAGGAAGTCATTAAATTATCACATTTTTTCTTCAATTTGGCATTTAAATCTAATCTAAATAAAAAGTTTATTTATTTTAGTTTTGTTTTTATTTAATTTTGTTGCTGTTGAATAAGTGAAGTACAGATTAAAATGTTGATGCAGATAAACAACATGCGAATCGCAGTAAGCGGCAGACCAACAGACACCGACGGCCGCGGCGACACCTAAATTGCAACAACAACAACAACAACAGATACTGTATGTACGTAATGTATCTTGTTTTCCAGTGAAACCCAAAGGCAGACACACACATACACATATAATCTCAAACACTTATATACACACCCATATATCTACGGCTTTTTGTTGTGATTCACAAATCAAATAATATAAAATAATAATAAAGACTTGAGCGCTGCGCGAAAAATATTTGTGCCAGCCAAAGACTGTGTCTCTCGCACACGCACACACACACACACACACACATGCACACGCACAGAGAGACACACGCCCTCTCTTTTTTATGCATGCCTGTCTATACTATATAACTGTAAAATCCACTTGAAGCGCCAGCGCACGATCAAGCAAATTGAGAAGAGAACGCGCGCGCGAGCGCACAAAGAGAGTTAAATTGCTAGAGAAGAGCGTAATCAGCGAATGAGCGAACAAGCAAACGAAAAGGCGTGTGAAGAGCGCAAAAAATAATTTGATGTGTTTTTGTAGTTGTTTTTGGTTTTCGATTTGCTTTTTTAGGGGCGGTGTTGGGCCTCTGGCTGGGTTCGGGTTCGGTTCGGCCTGGCAGCTATGCGGGTTCAAATGCGGCCAGCATGACGAATTATTACAGACACACATACATACTCACGCATACATATTTGCAGCTATAAAATGAAATTATATAGACTCACGAATACAATGCACATTCTCAATGATTCGCGTCTGCATGTACTTAGCTCTGTGTCCGTGTGTGTGTTTGTGTGTGTACGTTAAATATTAAAAGATCTCTGGGGCGGCTGGCGTCTTGCCCGAGCTATCAAAGCTCATTGATCTGGGCTAACGTCGACGCTCGGTTTGTGCGCTGCGCAGCGCTACTTTGCTCTGCTCTGCGCCTGCCTAGGCACCAGGCTATATTTGAGACTTTCCCGCACCCGGGAGAGGGGGACTTTTTAATTTTTGTTATTTTCTCGTGCGATAATCACGAACAGGCGACCGGTTTTAGCCTGTAAGCCTGCCCAACAATTCGATATACATATGGGTTTTAGCTTTGTTCAAATACACAACAAAATTTGTAGCCAAAGCTCTCAATATGTAAGTATATACATATGTATGTATGTGTGTACGTACGTAAGTACGTATTTATATGTATATATGCATGTTTGTATGTGTATTTGTGCATACAAATGTATGTATGTGTATTGAGGCTCTGCCTCTCCATATGTATTACACAAGCATTTGTGAAAACGTCGTCGCCATCGCCGTCGTCATCACCGCTGTATCTGTGCCTGGCTTTAAACCGGATCTTTGGTTTGAAAGTACATTCACTTTATGCCAGTGCTGTTGCTGCTGTTGCTGCCGCTAGCGTTGACGCTGACGTCGCTGCAGCCGGGCCCAGGCAAACAGCCTTCAAATGACAAAAGCTAGCCAACTCGCTATGGCTTGGCTTGGCTAACTGGCTAGCTGACTGGCTTGGCCAGCTAGACGTTGACTGCACATGCGCATAGTTCAAATAACTTGGTCAAGTTGACAAGATCAGCAGCAGCATTTGCTGCAGTCGCAGGCGTCGCAGTCGACGTCGCAGCACAGCGCAAAGTGTTGCTAAGCGGCAGCGACGAAGCCGGCCACAGCGCTAGAGAGCTGCAGAGTGCGCTAGAGCATGAGGGGGGAAAACCAAATCAAATACCAACAACAAAAAAGAGTCTATAATAAAAAAAACAGGTTAACAAATGTTGCCGCAACAGTCAACAGCAGCAGCAGCAGCAGCTCCAGTGGCAGCTAACGTCAACGTCGGAAGAAACTTGTTTTGTTTTTTCCTATAAGTCTTGCCTTGACGTCAAAGCCGGCTTACGACGAGGATGACGACGGCGACGGAGACGGCGACGAGCGACGCCTGCTTACATTCACTTTACAATGAGCAAAGAGCGTGAAAGTTAAACTAAGAGAGCGGCGCAGCAAGCAAGCAAGCCGGCAACCGGCATTGTCAACGGCAACAATGTGAGCGCGGTTGAGGGAGCTAGCGAATGTACGTTAAGTCATTCACAGCGCTCTTTTGCTTCACTGTGTGTGTGTATGTCTGTGAGAGAGAGAGCGTATCTGCGACGACGATGTCGACGATGACTGCGGCTGCTGCTGGCAGTTCGTTCGCATTCACAAGAATTTCACCGACATTTAGTTTAGTACCGTTTTTGGCTGCAGTCGCACTACGGACAATATTCTAATTGTGCTAACCAATCATACATGTAGATATACATACATATATACAATCTATATATGTGTATGTGCGCATTGTATAAGTATGTAAATAGAAGCATACACAATTCAATTAAAATAGCGGCAACAGTTAATGATATTAACTACACATTTTAAATGTTATTATACATGGCCAACGCCAGCCATATGGAAAACGAAATCAAAATCAAAATCAAAATAGAAATGCAAATGGAAATGGAAATGTGCTGCTGTACCAAACACAAAAATTGAAATCATTAAATCTAAATACACACAACTACAAATAATCATTAATAACAATTTACTATGGAAATCTAGTGAAAATCGAATGTGTTTTGATTAAATGCTATACAATTTATAATTACAATAAATCTAAAAAAAATAAAAAAATAGAATAAATAAAAGCCAACAAAAGAAAGCCCCCTACAAAACGCGTGCAACAAGTTAAATCCAGCTACAAGTTGTAAACCAAGTTAGAACTACACTCACACATACACAGACGCGTACACAAATACTCGCTCGCTCAATACACACACACACACACACGAACACACATAGACTTTAACAATGTCAAGTGAAAACATTCTTTGGAAGCAACAGGTTTCGCCCTAATAAGTGTTATAAAGACGCGCGTCCAGAATTGCTGTCGACTTTAGCCAGAAATCTTTATATGTATAAACACAAACACACATATATCTATATATATAACATAGTTAATGAATTTATCAGTAATATACACCGATATACACACATATACAGTGTTTAAATACAAAGCAAAAATTGAGGAAAATAGAAAATAAGAATTTGTGTGACTGCAACCAGTTGGAACGAAAGTCGAACAAAAAATAAAAGAAAAAACCTGAAAAGTTCTTAGAGCGCGAAATAGAAAAGAGACGAAAGAGCAAAACCTCAATATGGATTCATTTTACGATGGCGACCTCAAAGATATATGGGACTCCGATTTAGATCCGGTAAGCGAAATGTCCAAAGCTTTATCAGCTTTTTTATATTTCATAATCAGATACGATAAGCAAACGATCTTAAATAAAAGCCAGATATACATACAAACATATGTATATACATATATGTATATGTACGTACTACTTCAGTTGTTTACATAACTTTGAACTGTAGTAATAAAAATGTAAACCTCTTGACATTTGAAAAAAAAAATGTTATGTCGTCATGAAATTGCATTAACAAATCTTTTTTGAGTGAAAAAAGCTAAATTTGTTAATGGTATGCAGCTAGAAAACATCCCAGCACCTCATGAGTATCACAGAGAGAGGTGGCAGTTAGAGAAAATTATTAATAATATCAAATACATACTTGCTGTTGATCTCTAAATATACTAAATAGCTAAAGTTTGAGCTGACAACTGGATACCAATCATATAGAGAGGCAATTTGAGTGAATTAATTAAAGTTGTATTTAGCGTCATTCGCGCCTAATCAATTAGTGTAATAATATACCGGTTTAGCAGCTCGAAACTGTGCTACCAATACTGAGAATCGCATAGAGAGATCATTCAAAATACGTCAGAGTTGCTAATCTAATACCCAAAACTTGTGCAGCTAGAAAACGTGCTTACATAGAGAGGTAACATTAAAATTGCGTCCAGTTTGATTTGCCCTTTCCAAATACAGAATGATCTTCGTGCCTGCATATTAAAGAGTTTCTATACTTAAAGACCTGACAAAATACATACACATACACACAGAGACAGAAACCCGTCTAATAAAACAACCTAATAAAACTGTCTGCCCGTCTGTCTCTCCGGCCGTGTGTCTCTCTAAAGTGCTGAGTTCAGAGTCTTGGACAGTCACCTGGCTAAAGGCAAATCTAATCGAGCCCCACTATATCGGGCCCTAGCTATGATATACGACAGCGCACGCAGCTCGCTGATCGATACACTATTATTATTATTTGAATTTGATTTCGAATGGGAACGTGCCAAAATTGAAACAAAAAGAATGTCTTGATATGATATGATATGGCATGGAATACTAGGCTAGGCAAGGCAACGCTCCAAGGTTTCTCAAGATATCTCAGCTACTCTCTTGCCTTAGCATCAGAGCAAACAAATAATGCTTTAGTGATTTCTTATGTTCAAAAAGCAATAACAACAACAACCACAACAAATATCATTTACATGGGGAAGGGCGATAAGGGGCTAGGTACATAGGTAGCACTATTTCTGCTTTTACGAAAGTGTCTCTGATAATGATAATTGAAGTTTTCCAAGAAATTAAAAAACAAAATGTCTAAAGAAATTTATCATTTAGCGAGCGAGCAAAAATATCATTTCTTACCACTTGTAGTTCGAATATAATGAAATATATATGTGAATACGTGTGTGTGTGTGTGTGTGTGTGTATTCTTCTGCTCTTCGTTGAGCCTCATTTGTGGAGGCCTGCTTATCGCTGCGGAAACAGTAATGAATACATGTCGCCGGCCGAGGAAGCGTACATTTATGAGTACTACGACTGACTACAAGACTCCAAACCTAAAAGAATCTATTACGGCATACATACACACAGGGAGCGAGAGAGGGAGAGAGAGAGACGGCGTTTGTGTGAGAGGGCGGGAGCTGAGGCGCTGCAGTGATAAGACGAACTGCTGCTATCAGCTGCCCCAAATGCAAAGTAACTAATGACTTTTTTTCTGTTATTTCTTCTGCTTCTATTCAACTGCACTTTAAACTGACAAAAACGCCCGACCGTGAGTGTCATTAAAGCCGGGAGATAATGCAGCACAGTCCGAAATAGGCTCATGCTAAAAAAAAGCAAGTACAGAGGACAGTGAAAGACTAACAAATACCCTAAGGACCATATAGAGCTAGCACGAATCGGAGAACGTTTCCAAGGAAATATTCCTGATTATGGTGGGTTCTCTGGTCCAAATTGAATGACTGTTGCTCTTCTAATGTTTGAGATATGTTAGAATTGGATTGATGTGCAGAAGAATCTATGAAACGACCTTGATAATCAGCTTCTATCGTGTAGCAGATCATACTCTCTGGCTTATTGACATCTTAGATCGAAAAGATAGAAAAGGTTAGATTAGGCGTCACGAAAATATACAAGAGGTAGATATACCTGTTGCATTCCCTTGAATACAGTCAATATACCCCATTACAAATCACAACGCTTGCAGAGTATAAAGACAATCTAAAACACAAACAAATTCCCGGGGAAAACGCGCGTGCAGTTTTTCCCGCCGTAAGCAGAATGCCGTTGTGAAGACCCGGGGCGTGCGCCCTCGATTACGTCAGAGACTGCAATAGGCACACACGCACATACAGATATGCATGTGTTTGTGTGCGTGTGTGCGTGTGTGTGTTTGTGTACTATGTCTAAGGCACAATAAATATTCATAATATATTGGCCCATACGGGACCCCCATTTGAACTTCACTTTTGGCATTATTTCTATAAAAATTTCTATAAAATTTAAATTATCATCGTTTCAAGTTGACGTTGAAAATTTTGTTGCCCGCTTTTTGGCCATGTCATATCAAAAATCTTATCACAGGCCCATTTTGTAACCGAAAAAAAGCAAAAGGAGCCAAGTGTGAGATAAGGCCAGAAATAGTTTTGATTACGCGAATACAATAAATAAGAAAATGAGAGATATATATATACAGGTATATATGTTTGTATTTGTATAGTAAATAAAGCTGCATTGGGACTTTTCCGCATGTTAAGTGGCTAAAACAACAACAAAATAAGTCCAGATAATCCACCTCGTCGGAATTACTTCGCAATAAAAGTGAAAACCAGAAAAATTAACAATGAAATTCCAGAAATATTGTTTTTATTTTTGTTTTGTTTTTACTTTTAACACTTTATTGAGATTCGCTCGACTAGGGTTCATCAGCGCAATCTGTCAATAGACTGCGCGAAGGGGAAAAACCCCCTTTGGGGATTATCATTGCTGCCTGATTGAAGTGCTCGCTTATCAGAGCTGTCAGTAACTGATCGTATTCTAGTATACACACACATAGAGATTACTTCCACTATTATTGAATAATTAGAAATATTCTGAAAAATAATTAGCATTTTTGGTAATTACGAGAGTTCAAAGTAAATGGAAACAATATTAGAAAATACTAAGTTAACACGAAGTGATTTTTAAAGATAAAACAGAAACTAGTTAAATAAATTAAAAATTTTATTTTGGATGCTATCTAAACCTGAACTTAAGAGTTTACAATTTTATTATAATTAAAGTAAATATTTAAAATTAAAATAAAATCATAATATCAAAAATAGTAATAAATATACGTACATATGTGTAAAAATCTGACTATGTGATAAATTATTTCATAGTGGGCTCTATCTTTAAACCCAAGCGGAACTCTAAAAAATAGTTTTTAATTTAACTAAGCAACTTTTTGGATATTGTTAGACGAAAGTTGCTTCCTTTGAAAAAACTTTGGAGCACATAATGCCCATGGCCATGCCCGTAATTCATTATAGTGGTCCACTGTTGCTTGCATTGTATTGCGAGTTGTATTGATAAGGACTTAGACATATTGCTGCTGGATGCTAAAACGAAATTCTATTTTAACATTTCGTTCAACGATAAGGCCGTACATGTGTTGCTTGGAAACAAAAACGTTACGCTAGACAGCATTCCAAATTAATCTTATATATGAATATACATTCATGTATATGAAGATGTGGATGTAGATGTAGGCGTAGATGCATACATACATTGTACTAGGCTCTTTAGACATAGACGAACGCTGCTACAAAAGGGTTGTTCACTTCTATGGAAAGTGGTACCATTGGTACTATATAACATACATATAATGTATAGCTTATATATCTTTGTACAGAAATATATTATTTTAGGGTAATTTATGCTAGAGTCTGTTGTTAAATAATGCTGACACGATTAAGATTGTAAAGATTGTTTATCGACTATTAATACTTAATACTTAAATAATTAAATAATTGAATAGCTCAAGATTTGTAATCCATTGTTCGTCTAGTGAGTCGCACTGATTGCCCGTCTGTTCTATAAAACGGTAAAACCATTTAGATATTTTCATTTATCGAGCGTTCACCTTATGAATCACATTAACGGCTGTTCTCAATAAGAAACCAATAGAAACTAACTGTAGATATTTAAATAAAGGTATTCTGATAGTGCTCCTATTGAATCAAATATACTCCCTCAGTTTTCTAAGCAAGACTAGATTATCTATAGGATAGGTTACGAAACTATCTGCTTAGCTATATTCTATGTATATTATTGAATATAGTAACTTGGCCGAACTTACATGCCTTTAAGGTCAGGTTTCAGCTCATTTAACAAATAAGAGATGAAAGAAATTTCGAGTTGAAAGCACAGTTGCAGCCAAAATCTACAAAGAAGAAGAAAGAACTAAGTGAAGACGTTTCAACATTCAATTAGCCAAGACTAGACTTGGTCTATAATTTCTTCCTCATTTTCTTAGCTTTTTTTTGACATTTTTTGGTAACATGCAGAAATAAAAACTAAAGAAGTACAGACAAATTATTACCTTGGCTTGACGAAAGCTTACAGCCAACAGAAAAAAAGGCAATCGCCTTCACAAAAGAATGCTGACCAAAAACAAAAAAAAAAAAAAACAATAAAAAAAAATTAGTAGAAAGAAGACAAAAAGCTGAAGCACAGACGAAGACTCTGAAGTTTTTTTTTCATAAACCGTTGAGCAGGGCAAAATTGGTAAGACCAAAAGTCAAGTCGAGAAGAAAATTGCAGCATTAACAAACAAGTTCAAGTTAATAAGTCAGCAAGTTTATTTAAACACAGAGCTTACCATTATTTATATACATACAAACAATTATAATTGTTGTGTGTGTTTTTAATACAACTTTCGCTGATATAAGCAAAAAGATTGTAACAAATTTTTGCTAGCTCTATGAGCGTATATAATAATATTAACCATTTCATTTGACACCCTTAACGGAAACAGCAGC